GCACCGGGCCGGGCGGGCGGCGGTCCTCTTGCAAGCCCTGAAGGGATAAGCTGTCCTTGTTTGTTAGGTTTCAATATTTTTTTTTCCTCAGGAAAAGGTAGATCCCCAGAGAACAACGTTTTTACTGCGCAAGCAGTGGAGCTTATACAGCGTGACGCCTCTGTACAGGTTCTCTGACGCTCACCTGAGGGATTACTCGAGGCTGCTCAGTGCCTTTATCGCTGCCGAGAAGCAGAAGGGGCTGGCGGGGGGGGGAGGGGGGGAGGGGCTGGCGGTGGAGGTAGGGGTGGAGCTGGATGTCAAAGTGGCTATCTCCAGCCTTCCCGAGCTGAAAGGTAGCAACCGAGACCAGGCTGCGGTTCTTGTGCAGGTAAGGAGTCTTCCTAGCGCTTTTGGTAATTGTAATTGATATTTGCATCTTACAAATTGCTTTTGCTGTCATAAAATACTCTGTCTCTTAAGAAACTCCAACTAAACTCTAGCTGTAAGGAATAACTGCAGTACTATCTGTTGAGATTTAATGAAAGTGAGTCCTGTCTATTTTTAACTGGAACAGGATATCTCCTAAACAATGGGTATGTTTGATTGCAATGCTGAGTTCAATGTTTTCATAAGATCAGAGTAAGACTATTAAGAAGCTGTTCTAATTTTTTAGTCAGCAGTCAATTTGCTGCAAGAACTGGGACAGCTTAATTTTCTGGATACAGTTGGTATAACTCTACCCTCTGGCCATAGCTCAAGTCTAATTAATATTTCTGAAATGCTTTGCCTTAAGAAAAAGATGCTACTGAAATGCCAAGTTCAGTATGGCAATGGTTATAGGATGTACCATGGACTGGTTCTTCTTCAGCAGCATAAACTCAGATTTCGGGACTGTTCCAATAAAGTAAAAAGTGGTTTTTCTGCTATTTTAAACAGAATTGCACACATCTTTTAGGGATGTTGTGGATAGACTAACAGTAGGAGCTTTACAGAAAAAATGTTGCACATGAGGTCCTGAGAAAAATCTTCTACCAAACACTTGATATTATAAACAAATACCATTTTTGGCTGAAAGTCAAAACTATTCTGTAGTATTCAAATGCTTCTTTTCCCCTTCACAGCTTTCTTTGAGACCATCAGCTTTCTCAAAAAACTCAGAAGAGAAACTGATATGGTCAGGCTGTTTCTGCTCTGTGTCTGGAGATGACCTTTCTGAGAACATGCGAGAGGACTTCACTTGTTTACCTTTGTTTCTTGCTAATGGGGCAGAGAGTTACACAGCCATTGTTGGAAGTTGGTTTCAGAAGACTTTTGATTGCTGCTTCCACCGTTTAGCCATCAGCCCTTTCACTCTCAGCTGGATGGCAGCTATGTGGACTGGATGCAAAGTGGACAAAACTGCATCTGCTGTGGAACTTGTTTTCTCTGTCCCTTGTCTGCCCCAGCCTCTGGATATTTCGTATGCCATTCATCCAGAAGATGCAAAAGCTCTGTGGGACACAGTCCAAAAAACTCCAGGAGAGGTCACTCAAGAAGAGGTGGATGTCTTTATGGATTGTCTTTACTCTCACTTCCACAGACACTTTAAGATCCACTTGTCAGCTACAAAACTGGTGAAAGTTTCTACAGCGATTGCCTCAGCACAGTGTGATGGGAATATAAAGGTGAGGTTTTAAGCAGCATGTTGTCCTAACTAATGCTGGACAAATAAAATAGCTGTGCCTGTCTAGAAATGCATTTTAAAAATGAAGGTTTTGTTTCTTATGCATAATTTCCTACAAAAAAAGATGTTTAAACTCTTAGCATTTATTAGTCATAATTAGTTCTCAAGTTGGGGAACCTACCAGTACAGTATTTTACTACTGTATTGCAGCAGAAGCTACTAATGCTAGTCTTGGGCCAGAAATAGGTGTATTAGCTGCAGTATGAACAGGAAAGCTTCTTTGCCCATTGGCCAAAACTTAGACTTAAAAAGATCGCAAAGTTAATAAAAAGACCTTAAAAAAAATCCATTAGTTTTCTGCTATTGCAGTTATTAAGACACAGACAGAAGACAAATAATTAACCTGCAATATAGAAATAACTGGTGTGTGGGTGAGCTGCAAGATGGATGATCTTAAGAGTCAAAACATGTTGCTTAAAAATAGTTCACTTGTAACCCTTCTCATCAAGGTGCTGGCCTCCCTGCAGAGGTATCTATGATTTGCTTTAAAACCACAGAGGATTAATCCTTCCTCAAGTTTCTTCAAGGAATACAACATGGTCTTCTGAGTTAAAGAACAGTTTGTGTAAATACAATTGCTTAATTTAGACTGTCTATGATGTGCTGACTTCATTGTTCTGGGTACAGAGGGAATGTCAAAGGCTATAACCTCTTTCTAGCACATGGGTTCATCAAATGAAAATAAGTTTTGCTGGGAAACATCTCTTAACAGTTTCAGCCTTTGGTAGGAGAACTGCAAACCACTAGATGTTAAGTGCTAACATTGCCTGTTTCAACTGCATTAGTTTAAAAGGGGCTGAAACAACTTTTTATGTTGCAGGTAAGTAAACACAAGAGATACTCAACTGAGCAGGCTTTCTGAAGAAGGGTTCTCTTCTGGAATGTGCGTTGTGTAAGCTCAGTTATGGCTCTTCCATAATGGGGATAATGAGTTCAAGTCAGACACATATTCAGTATGGGAAAATAGGGGTATTCAAGGAAACTGGCAGAGTCTCCTTCCTGACCTTCCTCCAGAAGGAAGGAGGTAGCCAAAGGAGCAGAAGTGCTAGGATTCTCACCTTCCAAAGAGCTAGAGTAGGAGTAGGGCATTTCTTAGTCACCCTGCTTCACGTGAGATGCCAGCAGAAGTCCGAGAGCTCTGAAAGGAGCAGCATGTAGGCATGCCTGTGTTCTTCATATCCAGAGTCAAAATAGTGACAAAGGTTTCTTGCAAACAACAAACAACAGAGAAGCTGACTAATCACACAAACACTTGGTAGTTGGTTTCCAACCATTGAAGGGTGTGGAAATCTGGCAACTGCAATTTTTGTTTTGACATGCTTTTTTTCTTTCTTGCAGTTTCTACAAAGCCAATACCTAACCGGAGTGTTGATGCTACTGACAGAACTAGCGATCTCTCAGATACAGTGAAAGCCATGTCAGCAAATCTTCACACTAAAAAGGCTTACTGTTGGAAGATGGATGCTGAGAAACCGATTGGAAACTCACTCCTGCAGCATCTTCTTTCCTTTCATGCTGGCTGTTCAAAGCTGGACTCCAACTCGTGCACTCAACTCTGTAACTAACTGTAATTCAATGTCATGCACAGCCAAGACAAGCAGACATTTTGCCCTAAAGAAGGGCTACAGTACAAACTTTAATAGCTTCTTAAGCACCTTTGTTTTATCGTAGTCATTCTGTTCATTTATAGATACCAGCCCGGGGCTGGGAGATAAACTTTCCAAATTCTTGGATGCAACTTATTGACAGGTATTTCTGTTGTTTCAAATAGCAAGTTGGTTTTCACCTAACTAGAGAGCCTGGGCTATACAGACCTTAACCTTAGGTAAGCTGTGACTACTCTTGGACCAGTCTAAATGCAAGTCAAGCAAACCTGAGAGAGGGTGCACATTCTACAAGCCAGGGCAGAAAAATCCAGGTTTCCGACTTCTTTACTAGCTTGCTAAGGCCAGTTGGTAATGGTTGTATGTCCACAGATGTCTCGTCTACGTTCCAGTTGGGCTAACATGAACAGCATGAGACTGACACCTGCCTTGTGTGTCCAGTGTGTTGGTCCTCTCAGACAGGTTAAAACATAGGAAACTGAGGTCTGTGTATAATCTATTTACTATCCTTTGCCTGGTGTTTGTCCTCTTGGATGTAATTTTGTAGGCCAGGGAGCTTTCCGGGTTGGAGCTACGGGTGCTAAAATTTTATACTAGATCTCTCCCTTCTACAGCAGGTAAGCATTCAGAGACCTAGTGTAGAGTGCCTGGCTATAGATTAAATGAGCAGAAAGGAAGTAGAGTAAGTATATGCTAAGTGTTATGGTTTTTGTATTACAGTACTAAATAAAGAAAATACCTGCTATCTTTTGCCAATAGATTGGTCTTGAGCAAAGTAAAGACCACCTATGCCTGATTAAATATATACTTTATGGTGCTTATTTCCAACTACAGCTTACCTGACTGAACTACAAATTTTTAGCTATTAATTCTATGAGCAGCAAAATTTAAAGTCTGGTTTCCCATGCAATTCACGTGTAATGTCTTTACACTTGTGCAGCATCTCTAAGGGCTGAAGAGTTTGTGCTGTGATCTTCCCCCTAAGGAGGGATGCAAGTTTTCCCTTCTTTGTCCAACCACATAACTTTAGGATGTGTCAGCTGTCATAAAAAGCATTCTTCATTCTTCTCCCCAGCACCATTGAGATGAACCAGCCATGCAAACATGTAACTGCCTCACATGACATCATTGCATGCTTAGTTCCTAATCTTTTAATCATCTATTATCTCCAGAATTAGCCAGAAACATGCACTTGTTTTTAGTTCTTGTTTACTAGTTGAAGATGGATTATTTTTGCTTGTAAAGGTTGCAGTCTGTAAAGTGATGGCTCTTACCCTGGTAGAAGCAGCTAAGTAATCTTCTGGTCTTGACAGCTCAGCTGGTATTTAAACTACCACTTCTAGTGCTTAGTTTCCTTTTATGAAACATCTTAGACAAGTTTGCTATATCAATTCAGAAGAACACTGGTTGAAGCAGAACTGGGAGCTCTGATGTAGCTGGCACCTGTATTTGATTTGAAACAGGACTGTTACACCCATGGCTTAGTTCTAAATCTAATGCTCAGCTCTTTCCAACAAATCTGCATAAATAATTTCTAAAACCCTAAATTCTGTATAGCCTCTTTTAACCTCTTCCTTGCCTTACGAACGCAGACTAATAGCATGTGAAACTCCAGTGGAATAAGTACATGAACTACAGCCATACTCAGCTTCCAGGAGTGTTACTTTGCTAAACTGCTGTGTTGATAAGTATGTGTGGTATCTACTACAGCCTAGCTGTAAAGTATTGCTGAAATGAAAAGCTACTTCCTTCTCTTTTTTACATGCTTCTCTGCAAACTGGGGTATAGCCCTCATTAATAACTGCAGTTAAGTCAACAGAGCAATTCTTTCTTCCAGAAAAAGCTTCTAAGCAAGTGAGGGTAACACCAAACTGCAGAGTTTTACACCAGTTTTACTTACAAGTGATACCTGAAAAAAATTCAGCATCTGTGTTCATATACAAACTATACAAAAGCATAGTCCACTGCTTTCACCCAAAGGAACAAACAAAGAACAGCATAAAAGAAATTTATTAAGATATCACTATTTATACAAGTTACTCATGCTAGAAAAAAGCATAAATGATACATGTAAACATTTGTTTACAGAATACTTGTTTTCCTTGTAAAGGTGCAAATGATCTTCATATGTAAACACAAGAATACCGACCTTTAGGGGAAAAGGGGCTTTTAAAAAAGTTTAATGACCCATTTATTACTGTAGTGTAATTTTTACTATATTCAAGCACGTTAAAATGCTGGGTTACATGAATCAAACTATGAAGTTGAAGAACTTAAGATGTCAGCACTGCCTTTTTCATCTCAAGAATTTACAGTCCTCTTACTCTTTTAAAATCAGATTTAGTAAGGTCCCAAGTTGTATCAGGTGCAAAAAGTCATTCTTTCATACTAGATTGAAATTACAGTACAGCATATCAGAACTTCTGAGTCTAGAGTTCCTCCTTCCTCTCCCCCCAGCCCTGGGTGCCTCCACAGTCACTGAAACATGACGGTTACTCACAGTGCCAGCAAACAGCCCCTCCCCTCCAAACTCCTTAATAAGCCTCATACATTTCCCTGCTCTGAACAAACACAGGCAAAGTGCATAAAACTCACTAAAAGGGAGGGTACCATCTCATCATGGCCAGTGTTTTACAACAGGAATTCTAAAGACACAGACAAGAGGCAGGAGGGCAGCTAAGATGATGCTCGTCTAAGCTTTTTTCCAGCAAGAGCTGACTGCGGGTCTGCCACTCTACCAAGAACCTGAGAAGTGAGTGTTGATCTAGGCTAGTCAGAATTAACAGATGATACCCGTGTCCCAGCTTCAGACAAGAACTTGTATCTAGCAGGTAATGTGAGAAAAAGGTTCTTATAAGTAAGCAACAACTACTCGTTTCTAGGTTCATATTACAGGGGAGGGGAGAGACAACAGCTGAACTTTTGTACCATACACTGTACAGTAAAAAGGCATCATTTGAAATACTTTTCACTCTCAACCTTTTTGGGCACTTCACTGATTCAGTCGATAGATGAGAGGTCCAGTTCTACTTGCCTCCAGCAAGACTGAAAAGATACTCGGGGCACCCATCCTCATAGCTCTCCTGTACTCTAAGAGACCCTAAAACATACCACAAGGGTTGGAACCACAATAGTGGGCAGGACATAGCCCTGCCCTAACCACCGGCTTGTCAAAACTCAAATCGCACACGCACATATACATATATATATATAAAAAATACATATATATATGCACACATATGTATATAAAAAGCTGGAATTATCGCTGGGAGCGATACAAAGAAAATACATGATACAAATTAAATGAAAAAATAAATATACTCTGTGCACAGAAAAGCTTCTGTGCAAAGGTGGCACCTTGCAGGTCAAGTACTTTTTTGAAGCTCTCTGTAAATAAGGCAAAAGCAATGTTTTCTGTATCGCTTTCCTCTTTCACCCACCATACAGCTGCCACATCCACTGCTCACACAGCAGGAGGGAAAGCAGGAAACCCTCCTCCTTGCCAGACTCCCAGTATAGCATGTGGTCTCTGCATCAGCATTGTTTACGCTACAATAACTTTTGCAGTTTGGTTTATTCAAAAATGTAGACTATTTAGAAAAAATACGGACGTAAGCAACACTTCTACTTTTGTCCAGTGGTTCCCTGGAGTCTGACAACATGGTCTCCCATTGGGCACACTCTCACAGAAGTAATTTTTATGATTCCATAGAAAGAGTCACCGGCAAAGAGTTACATTGGATCTAGACCATGCATACAAGAGCTGCAAAGAGGTCCAGTGTCAACAAGTCTTCAGTTTTTTCTAGGAATGAGAACCAAAGGGTCTCCCTCCCTCTTGAAGCTTACCATATATGGGATTCACAGTGTGTCATTTTGATAACACCTACTCCTCCTCCCAGCCGCCGGTAGTTCATCCCACCATACAACCTGCAAAGACAAGGTTTTAGTGGTCACACCAGTTCAGCTCCTTCACGGAGCTACCATGGGAAAGACTAAACCAGCCCTTGTAAGCACAGTTCCACCATTGTTAGCCTCTGGTTAAAGCAGACCATGACAAGTGTCAAGTTCGGTAGCAGGTATCTTACATACCTCCAAGGTAAACAGCTGTATTTGCTCATGGCTTTCTCTCTCGAAACAGAAACTGCTTCTCATTTTGACAGAGCAGTTTTCTGTTATTCAAGTAATCATTTGCTTTTTCCCTGTCTGGTAATGTGCAAGATAGAAAAGAACTTTGCAGACTAGCTGACCTTGGGCTACATTTTGGGTAACACAAGAGCAAGGGTAGGTTTGCTACTTACAATTCAGCTAATTTCTATTTCTAATACCCTAAATTCAGCTGATCCAACCAAGACATAACACAGCCCAAGCACCATCTGTTTCTCCCAAATGAAAAATACATGTTACTGAAATGGGGCGTGCATTTCATATGGAACTCTGATCCCTATAGACTCCAGCATCCTACTCACTTCAGCTGCATACTCCCCTCTGTGCCACTGAAGTCTGCTGGCAGAAACAGAAGAAGCAAGTACTTCAAACAACTCCTGCCGATGCAATTTGTTAAACCTGAATTGTGTTGGAAGTATTTCTCGGTCAGGCTAGACAAATAAAAAATATCCTTCATTGAGCAGGAAGTTCAGCGAATAAAAGAAAGAGAAGACCACAGATGTTGATCAACTATATTGAATGCAGTGGGAGAAAAAAAACACAAGCTAATACCTTGAACAACCTCCTAAACTTCTGTGAATGCTAGCCTAGGCAGTAACTCCTAACTCTAGACATCTTATTACTGTTACCGTCACTGGAAGTATCTGAAACCATTCAGCTAAGGAATAAGAAGTAAGTATTACTCTCTACTCAACTGGTTTTCTCAGGAGTTCAAAATGCATTGTCCATAACTCAACAAACAAGGGCAAGTTCCTCCACTGCTCCTTATGACGGCTTATCTCAGCAGAAGAGGGTTCATCTACTAGTATTACTAGGTGGGAAGGAATAAGGACATTAATTTATTTCTCTTCCCCAGTCCTGCCAGACTACTAAAGCAGCAAAAATACACATAGGAGCTTGAAATTTAATACTAATTAGATCTGGGAACAAATACACAGGCAATCGCTTTCAAGTGTAGTTATGACTGGAAGAGAAGTAGGAAAAATAGCCTTTCTGCTCAGTACATGGTTTTGATGAGCAATTTTGTATTATTTCTCTCAATTTGTAAATCAGCTGAAATTCTTCTAATTGTCGTATTGCCAATTTAAAGGGGAAGAACATCATATGCTTGAAATGTTCTGTTTCAGTTCCTCCAAAAGGATCTGGAAAACAGAGCCTCAGCTTGAAAGCAAAAAATGAGTAGGCTGAATTCTACATCATGACTGCGAGCGCCTTCTGCTAAGGGCAAGCTTAGTTTTACTGGGAAGCAGAAGAGACAGCCCAAAATAAACAGAAGGGGCCTATCTCCCAGCATGGTCCGTTTCTGTTATGTTCGAAAGCAGCATATAAAAACAAACTAGGTTTTGGTATGACCTTTTGCTTGCTACCCAACAAGCCTGCTAAATAATTCCTTTTCTCTGGGTCTCAATAATCTATCCATACATCATTTTCCTACCGGCAAAAGATGCAATGAGACTTTGGTCACAAACTTAACAGTTACCTCCATGTGTTAGCATCTGGATCAAACACCTCGATGGTCTTCAAGTACGTTGTCCCATCAAAGCCCCCCACTGCCATCAGTTGGCCATTTACCACTGCGAGACCAACCTGCAAAACAACCATATCACAGATAGTAGCTATTTAGCTGGGATGTCCCAAAAAGACAGGTCATGAAAAGAAGGGTTACAATGCAAATATAAATAAAAGGATTTAATAACCATGTTTGGTGAAAGGCAGTCTGCAGTAGAGGGTTTTTTTTGAGGAAAAAAGGACAAACAAAATAGCCTAAAAAATAACAAGACATTAATAGTTAAAGATATATCTCAAAATAGAGACTGTCAAAGAAAAAGCAGAAGGTTCCCCTTGTTACCACCTACGAGAACTAGAAGTGCTTACATGATAATAGATACATGAGAACCTAAGCCTTTATCAGCCTGGACTGAAAAAAAATACTGACAAAGTATGACACGCACATACCAGAATATCTACCAGCCTACAGCCTGGAATGCTTGCTTAAACCAGGAGAGCCATATGTAAGCCCCTGCCCCATTCCTCTCGGTCTGGAGCCTGGACATCTAAGCACCTCAGCCTCCAGCCTTTCTATTTTCTCTTTCTGCTGAAGCACAAAATCACTGAAATCTCAAACAGTTCTGTGGTTTAGGAAGATCACTTCCAGTGAAAATATCTCATGGTGTTAACAGAAAAAAGACGACAAGAACACAATGTAAAGTGCTCCTTGTTTTGGCTTTGAGGAAGTTTGAAATCTTAGGAGGGCTGCAGATACTGATGCATCTGTTTAGCAGTTTTCTACAGAAAGCAAATATAGAAGCAGCTCATGAAAAGTCAATGCCGAATCAGTAACTAAAAAGGATGGTGTTGGCCAGTGCACTACATGTTTTAACGATGGAATAAATACGTATTCTCTTCCTCTAAAATCAGTAGTTGTTCGAATTATGATTCATCCTTGCCTCACCAGACATTGAAATATTAACATCCACTCTACTACTATACTATACTATCCAGGACGAAATGATAAATATTCACAACACTTGCATCTGCCCAAACACGATGACTACTTAAAACACTATGTTCATCTTTTGTTCACATGTCTGCAGAAAGCAGGAAGATCAGCAGTTGACGAGAACATGCTGTCACTCCCCATCCTCACAGGATTTGGTGAAGAGAGGCAAGGTACTAAGAGAAAGCCCAGAAACCCTGTTCCCACACACATCTGAAGGCAAGGAAAAAAAACTTGGCTGAAGGTTTGCATCTAAATACTAATGTCTGGCCAGTTTCCCAGCTCCTTCTTCTGTGTAAGTAGGTATGTTCACCTAACTCATGCAAAGCACACTGCAGGAAGAGACCCAGGTACTAATTTTGGTAGTCTTCTCTAAGACAATCTCATACCAAGTATGGCTACTTCAAGTAAAAAGTTAAAGGACTCTTCCATCTCAGGCCTAATTAGTTGACTCCATATAAAAGACCAAAACTATTAAAAAAGACCTTGAAACTGCTCCATTTCCGCATCCTCAGGTATGTTCAACAGCTGCCTATGGCATAACACTACTACCACTTCATTCTCTAGTTTTGCTGAAGAGCTTTGACTTTCTGCAAACCTTTCCCCTCAAAGAAGAGAGGTGGAGGTACACAGGAAGCAAAAGAGAAACATCCTAAGATGACGCTACCCTGTGCATCCTGGTTTCATCTGGGACAGAGTTAACTTCCTTCATATGTATAGTACAGACAAGCAAACCAAGCTAAACTCACTCCACTCCGGCGGGATGTCATGGCCACGACAGGAGACCACTGGTTGGTTCGAGGGTTGTATCTCTCGGCACTGCTGAGCTCTGTTGTATCATCTCTGCCTCCCACAGCATATATCATGTCTTGGTACACCGCACAGCCCAGATGCTTCCTCCTCGTCCCCATGGGTGCAATGGTGTGCCAGCGGTTCTCCTGGGGATTGTAGCGTTCCACTGCAGAGGAAATGACACATCTTTGGACAACAGTGTTGGCAGGCAGTGCAGGGTTAGCGCTTTTGTACCTGCATCCAAAGTATTGCTCAATCTGTAAAGATGCTGCAATTTCCACACACTGAAAATATGATGAACCAGTTTGTTATCTCTCACTCTAACGCTCTTCTTCTGTAGAACGCTTGCTATTATCTCTTCTGCCTCCAGTCCTATGCAGTCAATCCCATTCAGCATCTGCACTCAAGAGTGAGCTGGCAATGCTACAAACTGACCTGCATTCCATTTTGCAGTAGTTCTACCTTTGGCACCTTCCTTCCTACAGCAGAAAAGGGCTAGTGCAGGGAAAAAAAAAAGATGTGCTTGCAACTGTTATGTAAATGATCAAAGTACTGTATTCAGGATACACTGTCAAATGCAGCATCAAGAAAAGAAAATTAAAAAGTCACACATAACCAGGTAACAGGAACTCGCAACTCTGGAGAGTGAGTTACTGTATAGCAAAAATCATATTTAAATTAGAAAAAACACAGCAAACTAATCACTGAATTATTCAACAGCTACCTGGGGACACTAAGGACAAACAGGACCATGATAAGTGCTGACTGCAATAAGGGACAGCAAAAGGCATACCAGTATTGAGAGGAGAAGTCCCATCAGAGCCTCCCACAGCATAGAGGAAGCCCCCTAACACAGCCACTGCAACTCCCAGGCGCCTGGTGCTCATGGAAGCCACTCGAGTCCATTTGTTTTCTTTGGGATCATACCTGGCAAAAGAATAAACACTGAAGGTCAGTGAAGTGTTAACATCTTCACAAAGGGGCAAGAAGACTGACCTTATTCTCTTCAAACAAAAATCCTCAGAAGATCTGTACAGTACTTATCTCCTCTCCAGCCCATCCACATCAACTGCACCTTCTAAAAGACCCTCTTCTCCCTGTGCCCCACTTTTTTTTTTTTTAAATTAAAAAGTACCTTTCCACAATGTTGAGACAAGAGACACCATCCTGGCCACCCACAGCATAGAGGTAGCCCCCAAGAACTGCTACTCCAACACTGGTCCTGCAGGTGCTGGTGGGGGCCACGTCACTGCTCCACTGATTGGTCTTTGGATCATACCTAGAAAAACACACCAAACAGCACAAATTGCTTGTCTAGGCAGGCTCCAGACTCTCCCATGCTTGAGAACCACTAAGGCAGTGAAACTTGCCTATCTTGAGCTTAAACTGCAACACAGCTATTTGTAAGCTGGATAAAACCCCTGAAGTGATGTAATGCATCCAATACATATTATTCCAGGGATGTTCAAACTGCAGCTTGAGATGGTTCAAACTGAAGATCAAAGGTTCAGGTTCATAAGACAGCAGGTTACCAGGGACCGGCTCACATGTGGCAACTCAAATCTATACAAAGAGCAGCAGCCAGAATTACTCTGCTGTGTGTTCTCTGCAGTTCACACTAGAACCGAGCCAGCACTGGGACCTGCACTTTGAGATAAAAGATGAAGGAAACAGATGGAATTGGAAATCTAGAGACAAGGAAACATGGTGCGTTGGAGAAAAGTGCAGGACATGGGAGATATAAGGCTAGGGTAATGATTTGGGAAGCTGGGAATATGTAAGGCGATAGATGGGAAGACGGGGAGGCTCAAGGAGAAAGGAGATATTTGTATAGCTCACTGCATTTGTTACAGGGCTGAGATTTAGAGTAGCAGGAGTGTTTGAGTCATGTGGCTTGTAGGCATGGGGATCGCCATATGCAGCTCCCAGAAACAGGAAGCTTGGTAAAGCTTGTTTGACTTAAGTCTTTCACAGGCTTAAACTGACCTATTTTCCTTCTTCTGTGTAAGTGCCAAGGCTCCTTAATTCTCTAGTTACCACTCCACAATAAAATTCCAGGATTTTTCCCTCAACATTTAAGAAATGCTTATGGTAACCTCACCTTCCTCAACAATGCTAAAAACAAACCAGCAATTGCAAAGAAGCTTAACCAGGATCATCGCTCCTCCCATCAATTATACTCAGACCCATCTCTCACATATACTTTCCGTATACCAAAGGCTACGTCTTGTCTCATTAAGCTGGGGATAACTTGACACAAGCTGCTACGCATGAAGTCCTAGTTCAGCAGTAAACCAACACAATACTGAAGGGGGTATGCAAGGGAGAAGGAAACGTAGGTAACGTGTCATATAAATTTCAGGTTTTCAGCAGAACAAGAACACAGCTGGAAAAATGAACACATTTTTAAGAGGCTGCACCCAGGTTTAAACATTCAGAGTTAACATTTTGCACACTGGCCTTATGGAGACCTACCTTTCTACACTGTTAAGATAAGAGGAACCATCATGGCCTCCCACAGCATAGAGGAGGTCATCCAGAACACTGACTCCAACACCACAGCGTCTTTTGCTCATGGAAGCCACCATCCGCCACTCATTGGTTTGAGGGTCATAGCGCTCAACACTGGAAATTGCATCCCCGCTACACCAGCCCCCCACTGTAGGAACCAAACACAAGAAACAGTGTCATAATACCGCACTGAGCTCACGTACTGTGTGTGCCTGGTACAAATAATCCCTCTGGATGCTGTCAGCCTTAACCCAGTAGCCCCATCTCTGAGTTACTCATTCTGAGGATAATAATTAGAAGACAGAATGTGATTTTCATTAGTGTAAGTTCAGAAGTACTGTGGCATTCATAGCACCAAAGAAATGACACAAGTAAGAAAGTGTAAGTTAACTCAAATCTCCAAATATTAATGCACACGTCACTTCAGAAATACATCGTAAAGTCTTATGGAAGCACTATCTATCATCAGAAAACCCAGACTTAGAGCTCCTGACCTATGCCAGCAGGAGCTATACATACCTGCAAAAAGCACTTCTCCACAGCGTATGGGTTTGCGTGGTCTAGTTCTTGGTCCTTGCATCAGTGGCCGCTCTTGGGGCAATAACAGATAATTTTTAGCTTCATCCACTAGATCCCTGTGCAAGAAAGGGAAACATTAATCACCCAATACCAGTCTCAGGAGAAGGTACAAACCAAAACCAATGGCAAGAGCAGCCAGCACTAGTCATGCACTTCAGGTATTCACAGATCACACAAGTGCATGAATAGCTCCAGTTAAAACGTACACTGTCACCTAAATACTCATCAGCTGTTTACAAGTCATTTACACCATGACAGCAGTAGAGTAGTATCAATATTTGGCCAGAGTTAATAATAGATATTGCTTGCTTTAAAGACTGATAAAAAACCGTGACAAGAGATTTAAAAGGCTTACTATGCAGAACAGAAAAACCTAGACTGCCTCAAGCTAAAACTTAACAATCAGTTGTTTTGCCACAACACCTAGGAACAAAACCAGAGTTGAAAAGCACACAAATACATAATACACACACATGACCAATAGATGGAGATAGTACCCTTCTGATGAATATTTTCTCCATCAGCTCTGGCCAGCTCACACTGTCCATCCATTCATGACTTGCCACCTGGACTAATCCTAATATTCCAAACCCTTGAATAAAACAAAAAAGAAAAAAAAAAAGTCCTCCTTCCCTCTACAGATGTGGAATTCCCCCACTATGAATGCTTATTCAGGAAGAGAACAGTTTAGCCTATCCCCTGGACTTTTTTACATTAAAGCACGAGAAAAACTGAGTGCTTTATAGATGATACAGAACTCTGCAGAACTAGATTCATACTGTAAAATGAGGAAACAACAGTTTCCCTGCACTAGCATTGTGGGAAATAGCAGACTCTAAACCCAGAGTTCAATTCAGTTATCAAAGTGCAGACTTTTCACATAGAAAAACTACTTTAAGTCCTAATGAGATCATGACAGCCATGCAAGTGGTAAGCTGCAATGAAAGGCCACGACTAGAGAAATAAAAAAGGTGAAATGGAAAACAACAGACTGAAGGGTATTTTACCCTTTGACAGTAGTCAAACTGTTCACTCAAAGTTTGCTATTTCACTGAAAACTTGAAAGAACAAAAACACTTCTTGGGCACACTACTGACTATCAGGCAAATAGTAAACACTTTTTCTTGCATCTCATCTCCCAGTTGCAAAAGAAGAAATTGCGAGGTATCACCCATTTACCACAAATCAGCAGTTTTAGAGAACAGATGCAAATAAGGCACCCAAATAGAGCAAAATCCAATTCTGTAAATTAATGAGGAGATTTTTTTTATCACTCTTAATAAGCGGATCAGAGCCCACTGTACCCACAAGAAACTTGGGACTCAGCAGTGGTAGACGGACATGCTGCAGGACCTAAAACACAAAACAGAACATATACAGTAAACCACATATACCCAACAAAGATGCAAGAAGCCAACTGGAGAACAACAGTGGCTAAAAGATTTTGATAAAGAGTTAACAAATCCTTCGGCAAACATGCACGGTTATTTACACATCCAAACCCTGGCACTTTAGTTAAATGCAGTTCATCTTACAGCACCTGTACCTTTTCAATATACCAATTTAGATATCCAGCAGAAAATCAGCGTTTGCAAGGGGACAATCCACTGGATTTATTAACAGCTGAAAACAAGGTCACAATTGAAAACCTTTACAAAATTACGGATGTCAATGCATTTGCCTGAAACAGTTTAGTTAAGAGTTTTTCCAACCATTTAGCTCTCTTAAATGTGACTGGTATTGTGCAGTAAATGAACAGGAAAAAATAACATGCCTTTCACAACAGTGCAGAATTTAGAGGCGCAAGCAGGTACAGACAGAGGGGCCTAAAGAGGCACACAGTTATAAGAGCGTTAAGAGCTACCTTGAGAACAGCAGGTTTTTCTGGTTTGGTTTGTTTATTTAAAGCAATTTTCAAAAGCTTTCCACTAAATAAACTTGCATTTAACGTCTATTTCCAAAGCAGAAACACTGAGGCAGGCAGACTCTTGCCTCTTTTGATCAGAAAGCCTGAGACTTCAGAGGCTTTCCGGCTGACAGCTTTGTCAGAATGGGTGCTTCTCTGTGAAATGGCTTGGCTTAGATGAAGCATCATATTTCAACAAAACCATTCTGACAAGCTCCAATATAAGATCGTGAGGGCTGAGGCATAAATCAAACAGCAGAGCTTAAAGATACAGCTCAAATAAAGACAAGCTTTTTCTTACCCACTGTGGTTTTTATACAACACTCAAAGCAATGCATGCAGGTTTGTCTGGAAAGACTCCTGATTAATCTAGTTTGGCAAGTCCTGCCTGTAAACAATTCAGCAAAGCCCCTATTGAAGGCTCTACCCACTGCACCTTCCACCCTAGATGAAGGCAAAGTGCAAGCCACCTAACACAGGTGGAAGTCAGAGAGAATTACTGTGGCTTTGCATGCATTCACAACTGTGACACTGCTGTGGCACCGCCACATCAGCCCTCATTACTCTTCCCCTGGCTAAAGCGGTCTTGAATGTTACTGTGTTCAAGATTACCTGTGGCAGCTGGGGTCTTCTTTCCTGAATGCTGTATTTCACCCAGGCCATCACCGCATTGAACACCTGCTCTTCGCTGCGAACATTTAACTCGTCACTGGATATAATGTCTATGAGCTGGTTGGCAGGGAGCAGCATGAACTCCTCACTCTCCATTACCTGGTTAAATGGAAAAGAAGAAAAAGAAAGTCAGGAGAGTGGCCAAAGCACCACAGCCATTCACCATTCCAGCACAACTCTACAATGGATAGAGTCCACTTGAATTAGAGTCTAACGGATGATCCAGTAAAGTGGCAAATACCCATCGCTGTTTTGACATGAACACAAGTGAAGGGTTCGCCGCAGAGGGCAGAATGCAGCCCCTAGCAACACAACAAAGACATCTTTAGATGGGGACACAAGTGAAAGGGAATTTTACACCAAGTATTTTTTTTGCAGGACACTTTTAAAGGGTTAAACCACAAAGCACATTAATGAGGTTTCAAACCTTAGGAAAAACAAAGCCCTTCCTTAAAATCAGTCTCCTTGTTTGCCGTGTCTAATTTATAAAGCAGAAACAAAAATGCTGCATACGTGATAAATACCTGACTGAAAAGTGGTATCGGAACAGAGAGGCTCTAGTCACAATAAATCCAAAACAGAGCACAAAAATAAAGAGTCTCAGAAACTAGTTACCAGAGGCATTGTAGAGAACAGGGAAACTCCTCTTGAATGCGGATTTGTGGCTGAATGGAAGATATTTCAGAACAAGGTGATGGACTCATTTGATCCTCTTTCATTTGCTCTAAACATACACACAGAGTTTGCACAAGTCCAGGTGCACTTAGAGGGAATCAGAGCCTCCTAAGGACGGATGGATCTCTTGTGAAATTCAAGCCACTGACAATCTGCAAACACATTCATTCCCTGAGTACCCAAGGTAGCGACCAAGTTTCTCAGGAGGGTTTAGCTGCCATGGGAGGACTGCTCACACAACACACCACAGAGCACGCGCCAGTCAGCTGGCGACTGCCGTGAGAGGTCACAGCGCTCACACACAGCCACGTCTTCTGCACTGATACCAGGCACATGGGAAAAATGCAAGAATCGAAATAAAGAGAACTGCAGAAATGCTTTCATTGATGACTGCCAGCCTGGCTTCCCTGCAAGCATTGCCAGTCTGTAGCTTGTAACCCCTGACAGTGACAGAAAATAACTGAATATTGGCTTGCCCTTATTTGTGACCACATGAGGATTCCAGGACTTATTTTACGATTTGCAGCACAAATTTTTAAAAAAATACATTCTTTGACACGATCACCTCAACAGCAGTCAGCTGTGCAGTCCTTTTAATTATCTACAGAAATTAAGAGCACTGAATGAATATACAAAAATTTTCAAGTACTGACAACAGCAGATATAGTTAAAAGGAACACTAGAGAGAGTGAGATCAGTTACCACGCTTTGTTCTAGGATCCCGTGGGCTTTCAGGGGCAGTAAGCGCCACAGCAAGGTTAGCCCACACACTTCTTCAGCCTTAGGAAAAGAACTGGGTTGGTCATTAAAGATCCTTATCAGCATTTTTCCACTGTCTCCCTCCCTTCTACATAGACTAGCTTATGTCTAAACTACCTCAACAGTTTGTAAATGCAGCCTCAGCCTCTGAAAACAGAGACTCCGGAAATTTATGAATTAAGGATGGTCATCCAGACTCTCCCTTTCCACCCTCAGAAAACCCAGCTGCATCGATGGCCTCGCAGAACTCAGACCACTGGAAGCACTTCTGCAAGCCAAGTTACTACTGGTATGCAACTTGCTAGTTTACGTAGTAAAACAATTATTTAAAAAGCTTTGGCTTATTTTGGCTTAATTATCAGGACACTAATAACTATCCAACTAAAATTAATGGTCTATTTCACTTGCTTACTAAACAAGAATTGGATGGGCTTCATTTTCTCTGCACAGTATTCATGTGCATTACTGCATTTACAAACAGATAGGAGCAAATGTCAGCGTATACAATATGGAGTGCAATTTTGTCTGTTGATACAAAGTACAAGTTGTTCATCCTTCAGATATTTTTTCCCTCTTCACACGAACGTCAGAGACCAAACAAAAAAATATGAAGGCTGTTCTTGTCAGTGGAGTTGTTAATAGAACTATTTCACATTACATGGGCAAGATTCACTAGGGGTTTTAGGCAACAGATTAAATTGAGGGGAATGGGAAACTTGGAAAAACATTTTACCAAGAAGTTAATGATGTAATGCAGCAATACACATAAAAATTAATAGAACTATAGGTTAGCACAGCAGAGGACATGAAGCAATTCAGACTGCATTCAAAGTAACTGCATGGGTTGGCTCGACGCCTAGTGCTTAATATTTTACATTGCCATTCAGGAAATTCCCATCTCACGTTTCTTTCTGCTGGCTTGGAGGAATGATGACCACACAGCCTCTGCAGAGAAAGGCACATTTTTTATCAGTTCTCAGCCTCCAAAGTGGAGGATGATTAAGTAGGCAAGTCACTGGCTTCCATCAGGGATTACCAATCCACGCTGCACATGGAAAATAACAGCAGAACAGAATACAATCCCAACACGCAGCACCATTAAGATTGTCTACAGTGGAACCAAAAGAATTGATCATTAAGGATAAAGAGCTGCAAAACTCGTGGGGCCCTGAAAAGGGACACCAAAACCTCCCCCAGCTAAAGAAATAATGCTCTAATCTAAGCAACTGTTTTCCAGAGGCTGTGATTCAGTTAAGTCAATTACAATTTGCATCATCTTTGAGGAGGAGAGTGTTTTCTTGAGTCCAAAACTTTTGCGTCTGTGTGCTTCAACAGGGGTAAGGAAGACAGGAAGCCCTCTTCAAGGGACTGCAGAAGAAAAGAACCCCATAGCAGGCAGCTCTTAACAGCCAGCTGCATGTATTAACACTAAAACATTTTAAAACAAAATTGTTATGCTGTTAAAATGTTATTTAGAGGCTTGTAAGCATGCCCTACTCAGGTAATAACAAGAAGAGCACAGATCTAACCATTAAAATGACCAAGCACTGAAAATAAATGACCATCTGGTTATCATCCTGCTCCCCAAAAAAAAACTGCAGAAGAAAAGAAATGCAGAGCAAGCACAGAGCACACTAAATGGCCAGCTAAAATGTAGGGCTTTTGGGAAATCACCAAGTTCTTAAAAAAAAAAAGCTCTCCTCAAACAGCAAATTCTATTTTCTACTCTTTATGGTTAGGAAAGTCGTATTTAATTGCAACTTTTAGAGTAAACTGGTATCATGCGTCTACAGTTAGATACCAACTATTGTCTCAAAATGTCCAACAGTCAGGTTCAACTGTGTTTGCTTCTGCTCATAATTTTCTTAAATACTACCTGACTGAAATTAATACAATCCCAATCTGTTTCCCCACTTCTCTGGGGAAACTAAATTAGCATTAGGAGTCAATACAGGAGTTACTCCCTTTGGAAAGGCTCTACCTGTGAAGCAGGTGAAAAGAGGAGATTTCTCTGCAGCAAGGCTACCTGTTCCAAGGGATGGAAGAGTGCAGTTTCTGAAAAAGTCAAGAGACAAATCCTGCTAGCAGGGGAACAGACCTTCGTGTTGAACGCACTCCTATAGAGCACCTGCTTCCAAAACATACAAATTCTTGCCCTTCCAACCAGGGCTACAGGAAAGACACCACTTTAAAGTGTTGGGTTCCTTTCCGCGTCTGGGTGTAAGAGAAAAGTAAAGACCCACTCTTCTCAGACTATGGCTCACAGAATCCTTAATTATTACGCTGATCCTTCCCTGAACCAGTTGCTGATAATTTCTTTCCCCAAAAATTATCTAGGCAGAAATAACAAAGAAAGAGAGAACAGGGTTTATAAAGGTCAGCTACAAATTCACACATTCAAATTGCTTTCAGACAATTTCTGGTGAATAGCAGATGCAAAACCCTAGTTCTGCTACAGCAAGGGAGGTGAAGACCCAACCGAGGCAGCTGTATGCTCCCCTAAACACCCACATTTCCAATTCCTAAACTCAACAACATTTTTTTTTGTTTTGTTTTATTGAGGTATTTTCTTTAACACCCATCTCCCCTCCAAACATACAGAATCCATAACATATCTGAAAGGGGAGTGGAATGTCACACCATCGTGCAGCCGTGCCAGATATAATACCAAATTCCAACTATGCCTGCGACTCTGCCTTCCACGTAGCGCTTGCCACACAGCTCTAAGAGAAGAAACACTGCGGATCATATACAAACCACCAGTGCAACGCTGTCCTGCAGGCACCTCTTCCCTTTGTCTTCCCCAATTAATGGCTGGCACCCATCGCTATTAGGGCACACACAGCATATGTAAAGTCAGGATTTAGAAAGAAACAAAATGAGAGTTGCTCAGGCTCTCACAGGACACATTCACACTTTTGACACTATGATTCTTACCTCCTGGAAGTTATGCTGTGTGAACTTGTCAGCAATCCTCAGCAGTTCACGGCATGAGTGAGTGTCAGCGAAAGCTCGGATGCCCAGGCAATTGGAAGGGTCCAACTGTCTCTTAAGGAACTCGCAGCAAGCCTCCTGGATCTCAGCCAGTTGGAGAAGGCAAGCAGCTGGCAACAAGGTCTGGACATTTCCCTCTTCCACAGTGATCTGAGAGGTGTACGCAAAGTCTATCAGCAGTTCCATGGCCCTCTCGTCGATGTCTCTGATTACTACTTCTGTCTGCCGACTCTCTGCCAGCTCCCCAGTGAACATGGCTCGGAAATAAGGGCTGCAGGCTGACAGAATCACCCTGTGGGCATAGATCTTCTTTGCACCAACTACTAGCACCACATCGCACAACTCCCGGTGCTTCCGGAGAAGATTGATGACTTCTAAAGTTTGTCGAGGGTGTTTGTCAGAGATGTAGGGCATGCGAGCAGGCTGCGGCACCCCTTCTGGCAGTTTGTTAGGATCTCCAAGTGTGCAACGGCTAGTCACGTCCATTCCGGTCTCTCCTGGTCGAGTACTGGTACACCTGCAGCGGAGGAATTCATTAGACAGGACCATCATCAACTAGTCTACCACCAACCGTAAACCAAAGCTCTACAGCTCGCACCGATCGCATAAAACCAGCAGTGCCTGTAGATCCATGCTGGAACAGCGAAACAAGCAAGGGATCACGTGAAAGAGGAATCCGTCTCAAACCAAAGCGTACCTAGAAGTAAACAAATGCCAACTTGCAACAGGCTTATATTTATACCTATTTTCAATATGCTTTCTATGACACACCGCTGTAATATCTAACTACACATACACGTTTATTAACTGAACCTCATAATAGCCTTGTGTGGTAGAGCAGTATTATCCCCATTTCACAGAGAGTGACTCAAGCAGAGATTGTCTGACTTGCTCATTGTCACTTGTGTTTTCTTTGACAGAGCTGAGAATGGATTTCCACTGCAAAGAATTCCAGCTGCGTGATTCAACCAAACTTCTCTGGTTTTCTACCTACATTATTTATAGGGTCGCTCATCACTGTAATATCTGAATGCACTAAACTATCACCCTGACTCCAACTTAAAATGGCCTGCAGCCTACCATGAGTATCTTTCAGGTTCACAGAATATCCATTTAATCACCACCTCTTCAGTTATTTTTGAATTACGGAAGCTTCTGACTCAGTCCACCTTCCCTGACATGTTTCAAAAGAAGGTTAATCTTTCCCAAGAATGGCAGACTAGGAACTGCAGAAGGCAATTGGGATTATCAGATCAATCAGGAAAAAGCCAGACCAACCAAAGCATCCACAACTATCAGCCTACCAAAAAAGGAAGAAAATAAAGTCAAGATGGTCACTTTGGAGGTAAAGAACCACTTGAGAACATATCAACCAAGTTTCTGCTACAGAACAGGAAAAAACCACTATCTTCCCAGCTCCATATGCAATGTTCCAGAGATCTGATGTTCTTTTTTATGGAAGTTCAGGTCCCTTTCCTTTATCCCTTGCATCCCTGAGCAGATGTCAGCTCTGCGAAGGTTTAAGTGCAATACCTCTCTGCACAGCAGCACGACAACACTGACAGATCATGCTTCACACCCTGTATGCTACTAACTGGAGAGAAGAGGAATGCAGTATTGCCCCGAGCCTTTCTGCAGTTCTGCAGGGATGAACCAAGATGACACATCTCATACCTCACTTTGCAGAGATGTCTGCCTACACCCCAGGCTTCACTATCACGTTGTGACTGAATACAGGAAACCACTGCCTCTTCCCACTTCAAAGGAAAACCATCACTTAGAGCAATTTAAGCATACTGAGCAAAATAACAAAATACTGATGGTTATGAATTATCCAGTGAGTGCACTGGCTGCTGGAGATACACTGAAAGCCTCAATACATCCGATCCGTTACCAGCTTCTCTGGTACACTCGCATTTGTGAGCTGTCACTACCTCACTTTGTTCACACTAAGAGTTAAAAAGAAATCTAACTTTGTTTTGCCATTCCTCAATGTATTTTGCAGCATGCTTGAAGGAAAGAATTAAAAAAAAAATAACCCCCATCTTTTCCTCTCGTTATTATGTCAAATGCACTTTCTAACCACAGGGAAACCGGTCTCTGCAGCAGTTCAAATTATTCACTGGCAGACTGGCATCTTAGCCTGTTTTCCCATTCCCCCCACACCCTCTCCTTGATCATCATATTCAGATGTTTCAGACCATTACCTCTTCCTCATATCTTAGTTACACAGATCCAGCTTGGTCTCCCCTCTGGGTTTTGCTGCTTGCTCCCGTTCAGCCTCTGCACCTTAAATGCCTTGGTTTTGGTGGTTTTTTTTTTATCCCTACGCTCCATCTTTTTTTATATCCATCACCGTTCTCTTTTTCTGACACCTCTGACAAATCCTTCTGCTGTTACACTGCCTCTCGCTCTCCTCCACCCACTCGTGTCCCTCACAACCCAAATTCACCTTGTGGGGTGTGACAGCCATTTCCAGAGCTCTGCCAAGTTCCCCACAAACAATGCAGTGAAGCTCTCCCCACAGCCGCATACACAAACCAAGTTTAATGGTACCCCTACAAAAACCCCAAGAAACCTTGGCTAAAGATTAATTTACTTAATTGGCTTACTTTCATAGTCCTTAGTGGCTAAGGCCAGAAGGTAAGCGATTTAATTTCTCTACCAAGAGATGGAGAAAGGTGGTGACAAAAATCCCCCTGCAGAGTCTAGCTCTTGCTAACCAAGCCAAACAGATTTTATTGTGCATTAGGCATTTCAAGCTATGTCAAACCAATCCCAGGAGAAAAAAAGAAAAAATAAGTACCCTATTAAGACACATGCTACTGTAATAATTTTGGACAGTTTGTCTTGACCAGGCTGTCTGTCAAAGTATCTAAGCACAGAACAAGCATTCTTCAAGTAAAATCTCATTTCACACAACTACACGAGACCCCAAGAGATGGCCCACATCCACGACAGGACCTCCTTCTGGAAAGCAGACCCCCTTTGGTACACCTGTAGGCTCGCCTCAAAGACAACCCCCACTAAAGCCAGCCCTAAAGCAGATCTCAAAGAGCTTTTTGGACTGGCACAGGTTCTAACTACAAAGGGATTAGATTAAGGCTATGTCTCCACAAGGAAGCCCGTGTACCTTGTCAATCCCACCACCCAAGACTCTCTGATGACACAGAGCAATGGGGTGGACCCGCTCATGCCACATGATTAGTTGGCCAGATTTAGGCAATAGTCCTAGTCCCTCCCAGCCAGGACAGAGCAGGATTTTTCTGCCCAAATGGGACTCTGCTGAACACGTCTTTAAATTAACTAACTGAAAAGGAGTCTGGTTAGTAAGAACTGGAGGCATGATTGTTCCCGTCAGTGTTAACCTGACTGCCTGCATTGTATCCAGCCTCCTTCCTCCAGGAGAGAAAGTGCTGGTTAATGATTAAAGAAAACTGAATGGATAGAAAAAAGAGTAATCATCAAATTAGCACTCCTGATTCATCCATAACTTTATCTCTGGGTAATGCAGAAGCCAGTGATCAATGGGCTTGCGAAGCTCCATACTGGATCAGACCAGATGCTCGATGTTGCTGCTACACACAGGCACAGAAGTGTGAATTAAAAGGACACCGTCTGATGGCAGACATCTCCACGAGGATAATAATTTAACTGCATTATGTGTGCATTATGCATATATATGCATAGAGAATGAAATGATGACTCAGTAGCTTAGAGGTGTGAAAGACAGAAGGCAGCACTTGATTCTCACATGGTAGGCTAGCTGCCTCCCCTCGCACACACGCACAGCTAAGAGCCGCTCCTGAATACTCGGGATGATTAAGAAGAGTTGAGGATCGGAGAGAAAATGTGTATGCAAGGATGAGAGATTCACACTCAGCTATGCAGACATTCTGGGATTAGCTTCCATCAAAATGCAGGGCTGGGGAAATCAGCAAATACAATGGGATTAAGAAAGGGCTGACAAAGGATCAGCTTTTGTAGCACGCTGCTGAAAACGTACAAATGGGAACACAGGCAGTCTGCAACACTAAGTCAGCTAAATAAATAGGCTGCTCTGCTTCCATTTTATTCAGTTATGCCAGTTCCCAAAACTTTATATTCATTAACATGGGCATCTATGAGACATCCATCCTTAGAGCTTATAGCAGCTTCTTCCAAAGTTCAAAAAAATATCTAATAACACAGATGTAAGAAAAATACCCTCCAATACTGTCATAGAGCTCCTTAACTTTCAAGTCAGAGTGGCCTGTATTTTTTTTGTTTTAGATAATGTATGTTTTAGAATGAAATTACAAACAAGCTTTAACAGAGTTCAGCAGAAAACAATGGGCTGACCTAAGGCCCATGAAACAGAATAAGTCTCAGGCTGGACTGAAATCCAAAATTATGCACTGCTCTAGTGGATTTCAGTAGCAAATTAAGATAACAAACCAACCTGGTAATGATTTCTGTCAACATCTCACTTTGAATTTAATGCATACACAAAGAAAATACTTCCTACACTCATTACAGAACTGCTAGGACAGAGACTCGGAGTTGGCCCAGCCGAGGGTGACACCTTCAGCAACATAAGTGACCACCACAGCACTGACGATTAAATGAACACAAATGCTTTATTGCGACAATCAATACTCTAGGAATTAATTAGTTAAAAACACAATTATTAGTAAAAATACCACCGACTCCTTTTCCTACATAGACAGCAAGGTTTAGCTATACGTTCTCAATGTGGTTGACTTATGCAAACAAGCAGATAAACCTGACTGCAATATTATTTTACATTACTCAAAATGAGAACGGCAAGGATCTGGTGTATTTACATTGTTTAGTTTGATTTTCACTGACCAAGCCCAGAAAACTCAGTTTCACCAAGAAAGAGGATGTCCATATGCAGAAAGATAAGGACATTCCTGGAATCTCTCAAAACCTTCCTAAGCCTTTTGCAGTTTGCCTTGGGCAAGAGCTATGTCCAAGCAACTGGTTAACCTCCTGAGCGCGTGAGAGGGCCCCAAGCCCACTGTGGGGATCTGCAGTCTCTCCCCCTCAGCAGGGTCTGGCTGCCTGGGCCCGAGCCAGCTCCAGCACACCACGGCTGGAACCTGGGATCAGGAAAGAGCTGGGTGAGAAGGAGCTGGGAAGAGTCTCCCCACTTTGGGAGCTGCTCAAGCCTCTTGAGCGCACTTGTACCCTATCACGTACCCCACTGACGCTGACCTGCCTAGTTGGCTTCCTGGCTTGACCTCAGCCCTTCCTCATCACTACAGACTTGGCCGATGAGCACTGGACTCCTGGCTGACCCTGGTCATCAGATCGGCTCTGCCCTCCTTGCTCAGGTACTGTGGGATGATGCCCTTCACTGGAAAGGTCCCCTCTGCCTTGCTTTTACCTTCAGAGAACAATGTTCTCTTGCTGCTGCCTGACAGTGAGAAAGAATAGCCTGCCCCAACTATCACTTCATTTCTAATGCAAGATAAATCCCGTCTGAACATCAATGCATTTTCTCTACTCTAATCTTGACAGGAATAGCTGCAATTCCTGTTCCGTTCAAATTGTACTTCCCATCCTCTGAATGCTGTACACATTTGATACCGACTCACCATGTTTACTAATACAGTACTGACCAAGCCTCATTCCCCTCTTCTTGCGATATCTAAGAGGACTCTCGCATGTGGTATTGAATGGCTGCAGAGCCCTGAGTAAAAGGATAAAAGGAAGTGCTCCGCCATCTGCTCAGCTGGACTTGATAGAAAGATCTGTGAGCCTGAAATCCAATCAGGAACCTTTTATCATTTTCTGCTAAGATGCACGGTAGAATAACAAACAGAATTTTTAACAGTCCACACAGAGCACTTTAATTCTCTGCATCAATGCAACACGCAGAAGACAGCAGACATAAAAATAAATTTAGAGCCTCAATTTTTCCATTAGGAGCACAAAAAATAAAGTAGAGAAAACACAAGAACACAAGCCAAGCTAGTCACCAATTTCATGTCATTTTGCAAAAAGATTTTAACAAATGGAGTACAACATAAAAACCTGGAAAGCCATGGCTTTACGTTGGTTAAGATTGAAACAGTCTCCATTGTGGAAGACTAAGATGGAAGAGACATTGTCTACTACTTAATCCCTCTTGGAGAAAAAGGAGCTCACTGTAAAAGCCACATACAGCCCCTCATTGTCTAAACCACATTTCTTATCTTGGAAAAAATACTGAACAATACATAGCCCCAGTGATGCCCATATCACGTCCCGAGGTTTACTCATTAGCTTAACTGAAGCAGCGGCACAGACTTTTTTTGCTGCGCTTGAGGGGTTCATTTAATTAAACAACACGGTGTCACTCTTCAAAGGTTTAAATTACTATTTCTTACCTCCCTACACTGAAACCAGGCTAATGGTTTCTGCAAATGCTGTAGCTAGAAATGCTCTACATATTCACGTATGGTTAAAATTCCTCATTACATGACTGTTTACAGAATTATCCATAATAAATTTTCCCTACTTTCAACATACTAAAGAGTGCAGACACACAGTTCTCTTTATTTCATTTAGAGGTGTAGAACATCAGGAAACTTTGCTTCCACGCAGCCTGTATCACATACAGAAACATATCTGCTGTCAAGTTGTGCCATGGGATTGCCATCAGATAGTGAAAAGCAACTAGAACCAGCACACAATCCTGTTTGCCAACCTGTCAATATGCTGATTTATTGTGACAATTTTTTTTTCTATATAACAGATAATGTTTGACATAATCACAGCAAGAATTCCCCTGAATTAAACTTCAGCTGCATCTTCAGCTCATTAGAACTGAGGCAGCTGGCATCCACAATTAGAAAAGGAAACCTCCGTTTCAGCCAAGACCTCACCCCATCAAAGGGACTAAATGCCTTTAGTTAAAGGGAAAAATAATGCCCCTTACAAATCAAGTTTCAATTTATTCCCAGGCAGTTTATTTTGCACAGTTTTAATACCCAAGTAATTAAATACTGGATTTTAAATATGATACTAAATGGGGAAAGTAGGGAGAGTGAACAGAGAACTGTAATAACTTGTCTTCCGTAGTCTTCCTAACAGCATACTCATTTAAAGACATCTGGTCTTGTAAATATTGAAAAATAAACACAATCAAGTAAGTACTAAAGATGAATGCTTTATATTCTAATTCTCCTAGCCAGGCCTTTAAAAAACACAAAGCCAAACAACATTTTATGGTCTAGGCACTTATGAAACCAAGTCACATGATATATCGTATTTGGATAAGAGGAGGACAGTTGTTTTTCATATCTTACCTGCGCATTGGCTTTCCGTCCATGCACCGTGAAGAGAAACCTTCACCCTATGCTTCAAGAACTGATCCAAAAGAAAAAAAAAAAAAAAAAAAAAAAGGTGATATTTTCAAGCAAGAGAACCTTCTTTCCTCTCTTCAGTCTGGCTCTAGGACAACAGGACTGACCACATCCATGTACTAATATGCCTTCAAGCTCTCATCCAGCTATAAAACTCGCAGCCTAGATTAACGACGGCTGGATTGCAGAGAAAAAAGCAGAAGAAAATATGATCATCGTTAAAAGTAATTTCACCACAGCTGCATAATGATTCTTTAGGCAAATGGAACACACACATCATAAAGTCAGTAAACTGTCTGCCTCCCTGAATCCTTAAAATTGTTCTGCCAAAGGAAAAAAAATAACTCAAGTAACAGGGCGCTCGCTCTCGCTCAGGGCCAGGAGGTATATCTCCCTCATACATTTACCAGAGATTTAAGGCAGGCTGGCACCTAATAAACAGCACAGTGCTGCTCAACAGCTACACTGCAGAGCCAGAATTTGATATAAGATAAAACTTGTGTCTGGAAGTTGAAGATAACTATGTGCCCCAGAGGTAAGAGGGATGCTAATAATGGTACTACATCTGCAAAGACTAATGATGCTGCCTGATGCTCACTACACTTCCACTCGAAATATTCATTTTCTGAGAGGAATAACAGTTGCAAACTGCACAGGGCTTCCATACTGAACCATTAACTTTTAATTCTAGTGTAGCGTAGATTAACCCTTTTTACAAGGGCATCGCTCATCCTGATTTCAGTTTTAATGATTATTCAGTTAGGAATAAATTTAATTCAGTCATTATTTAAAGCAGTAAGCCTACCTTTCTGTCATGTATTAAAAGAACAGAAGGGTGTTCTGCTTCTATATTGATATTCACAGACTTCTTCCCACCCAGAAACGGAATGAGAAATGGGAAACCAGTGAAACCAGAGGAAAAGCAAGGACAGAATGAGACTGACTAACTCTTTAAAATAAACAGAACTAGCATTTTAAATGGAAAAACTTAAATTTAGGAAAAATAAAGTCATTTTTGGAAGCCTGAGATTGTCAGATTGAAGCTCTGCATCCAACAATAACAAAATATTTTGGACACAATTTAAATAAAACTGCAAAATGTTTAGAGCCTTATTTGGCTACGTGAACAAGCACCTTATTTTATATGCAACATTCTCCTGGTACGTTATCACAGAAACACAAACAGAGCAGTTTGCCAGTTAAAGAAGAATAAGCTCAGACTTGCTGTCTTCCACAGTTGCAAATTACTGAGGTTCACTCTTTC